TTGTCATCTCTACCACCATTTTAGCCGCCACTCTCACTCTCTACTACCAACTCTATCACCATCACCGCCCACCACCACCATTATTACCAAGGACGAAGTTAGGAATTAACATAAGGGTGGACACTTTATTAAAAGTTGTATTGTTTTCCTTCCAAATGACTAAAGAATACACATAAAATTCTTAAAATAATATTTAGGGGACTTTGTACCCAGAAAGATTTGAGATGGTTTACTTTGCAACTTCAAAGTTTAGATTTCCTATATTGTACCTTTAATGTATTAAAAATATTATAATATGACCCTTTTGCTAGTTTATGTTTCTTATTCTATCAAAAATCATCCCATTGACATTAACAGAATGAGTAACATAAACTAACAGAAGAATCATATTACAATATTTTTAATATATTTAGGTACAGTGTGAAAAATCTAATATTTAAGAGTGTAAATGAGAATTCTTACCCTTAAAACCTAGATTTTTGTTAAAACCTATAGAGTGAAATTCACCCTAATATTAAAACCTAGAATTTTGTTATACCAAACAATGTGGTATAACAACAAAAAAGCAATAAAAAAGATTCTAATCACAAATTTTGACAAAAAAAAAAATTCAACTAACTGTGGATGTCATGTTTTTTTTTTTTTTTTTATGGTGTGTGGGTGAGAATGTGTCTATGAGAGAGTGAGAGAAGATGTGTGGGTGATTATACCGAATGAGAAATACATTTCTCGCCCATACCACAACCACCTATCTCACACCAGAATCACAATCACCTATCTAATACCAGTATAAATTACACTAAAGATTGTTGAATTACAATCGTTTGTTACTTTGGATTTGATTACAAGAAGTGGTGTTGATTTTTTTTAGTGTGCTTCTCATGTGCACAATCCTCTCTGATTCTTGATTAGATTTGGTGAAAACGAGGGTTGAATTAGCGTGCTTCTCAATTTTCAATTTGGTGGTGCTTTGATAGATTTGGCAAAGATGAGGGTTTGATAGTTGTGTCCCTTGATCTTCAATTTGATGATGATTTGAAGGATTTTTTTTTTTTTTTTTTTTTTTTTTGTGTTTAATGGCTTGAAGATGATTTGAATCTCTTAAAGAAAGACCTTCGTAGTATATTATTCTACTTAGAGACGGATTTGCAGGGCTCGGATGTGGGTGGACTTGGGCATAGCTTCACTGTCCTTCTTTTCTCTAGCCTGGCTTCCCAGCTTTGCAATTGGCCTAATGGCTTCCTCAGCTTCTGCCTTCTTAGCCTCCCCTTTTCCCCTTCCCCTGGACCCATTTTGGGTCCTTTGGAAGTCGGTACATAAAATTAGAATAATTGTACAAAAGTATATAGAATAAAATATTTTGAAAAAAAGTACACAACTGAGATACAAAGATATAAATGCCCATTTTGAAAAATTTTCTTTCCTAAAAACTGTAACAAAAAATTTATCTTAAACGCTGAAATTTAGGGTCATTCAATTCAAAATCTTTTATCTTTAATGCACCTTGATTCATGCGTATTTTGTTTTTGAAAGTGATTTTATTTTCAAATTATATTTATATATTAAATATTTACTACTACTAGTTTTATAAGAGAACTTTAATATTTCGTTTATTTTAGGATATATCATTTGCTTGAATTTTAAAATTTGTTAATATCCGAACTCCATAATAGTGTAACAAAGACAGTGTAAAAATACATTGTAACAAAAACAGTGTTTAGTAATTTTGTGCATGTGGTAACAAATTCAAAACGAATATCAACTGTTTTGAATGAAATTATATGAAAATATATGTTTGACAAAATGTAATAGTACAATATTTTATGCAAATATCTTGTTACACTGTTATTATTACACTGTTACACTGTTATTGAGTTCGAATATTAATATAATTTGAAAACAAAACCATTTTCCAAAAAAATATTGTTGGGCTTTTGTGATTTGTTTGGACATTATTTGTTTAGGATTTATTTACTTTGGAATTTATTTATTTTGGATTTTATATGTTTGGGCCTATGGTATTTTAGGCCCAATCCAACTTAGACCCAAATTTTTGAATTGGACTTTAATTTTTATTTGGGCTTATAAATTTAGGTCCAACCCAATTTTAATTTAGGACTTGTTTAATTTTAGTTTGGGCTTCAGACATTATTTTTTTAATGTCTGCACACAAGCAGAGTTTTTTTCAATTGAAATTGACTACTAAGAAGAGTACTGTGCATTATTCCGTATGTAATTAATTCTAACTACTTGATTCCCAAGCAAAAGTTATGAACATTGTTAAAAGTGTTAGGAGCATCTCCACTCTTTTTTGCTTATTATCCTTTATGAATTGGTCTTTTTTCCTAGGAGCTGATGGACTGAAATACTATAATGTTGTTGAGGGAAAGGGCCATGTAACTAAAAAAGCACCAACAGTGCAGGTTTGATGGTGCCATGTAATCTAGTGATTATGTGTTTTCATGCATTGGTTTTGCAACTTATCTATAATAATAAGACAAAGGCCTTTTTCAATCTCCAAAATTAAAAAAGTACAAGATAATTCAGATTGCATTTAATATTTTTCAAACGACTCATATTTCATCCAACTTCATCAAATTTGATCCAACGATTGACAATTCATCACAACAAAAAAAAACATCCCGCTCAAACATTTTCACACGTTTACCCTTTCACACATGTACCTAATGTTAGACGCCACTCTCTCTCTCTCTCGCAGAGACGCCAAGCTCCCTCTTCTCTGCCATGGTCCAATCACCGCCAAGGACAACCCAGCCTAGGTACCTCTCTCTCTCTCTCTCTCTCCCATAGAGACGCCACACTCCTTTTTCTTTGCCATGTCCAATCCACCGCCAAGGACAACCCAGCCTAGGTACCTCGCTTTCTCTCTCTCTCTCTCTCTCTCTCTCTCCCACCTCTCTTTCTTCATCTCACATGCACACACATAACAAATTTAATTATGAAAAAAGAATTCAAAAGTTTTTGAAGATATTGATTGACATTTAAAAGTAATATTGACATAGATAAAAATATAAAATAGTAGCTCAAGAATCACAATCACAAATAATATAACATTAATGTTCTATTCTAACTCTAAAAAGAGAGTCAAACAAATTGTTTTTTACGTTTATTGACATTTTCTAGTAATATAGATATTTGTTATTTTTAAAATATTCAATAATTCATTTCTTTTTCCCAGTACAATGGGAGGGATTGAATTTGATCGATCAATTAAATTAGTGGTGGTGGTGGTGGGTGGTGACAATGGCGGAGTCAAGAATATAATATAGGGTAGGGACAAGTTTAGATTTGTCCTCTAATTGATAAAAATAACGTGATATATTTACGTTTTTTGCATTGTATTTGATACTTTGAAAATTCGATAAACATAAAAGAGACATGTTTGAAACAATTTAAAAAGATAACATCTTTACATCAAAGATCAATTATATAATTTATTTGACACCAATAAAGGTGATATTTTATAATTTTTAATCTTGTTATAAATTTCACATTTTACTCATTTTTTGGTGTATTTTATAATTTTAATCTTGTTATAAATTCCACATTTTACTCATTTTTTGGTGTATATTCTATAATTTTTTTAACCAAAAGAGGTTGCAACAAATCATACCGATACTTTAACAGCACATAAACATCACACATATGAATCAGTTTTAGTTTGCTAAGTTTAAGAGATTTGGTATGATTTTTTATTGCTTTGTTCAAGTACCCAACTTTTTTAACCCAATTAATTTTTTTTCCTAAAGAGTAATAATATTTGAATTTAAAAATTTGACTTAATTTATTGACCTAATGATGTGACTTCATTGAAATCATTAGATCAACATAAAGCCACATTCAATCCAAAGATCATAGTGAATTAAATCAGTAAATTAAGTCTTAGTAGCATTACTTTTTCCTAAATCATTAGGATAGACCCAATTAAAATAATCCAAAAAAATATATAAAGCATATATAAGTTAAAAAAATAAAAAAATTGTAGGATGGACCTAGGCCCTTTTCTTCGTCCGCCGTTAGGTGGTGGTGGGTGTGAGCTAGTGGCGGTGGGCGACCAAATGATGCTAGTGGGCGATTGTGGTGGTGGTGGGTGAAGGTTACCTTTGGTCACATTGTTTTGTGTATTAGAGTTTCAACTTTCATTGGACAACGATGACAATATTTTTTATTTAAAAAACTTAGTTAGTAAGGGCAATTTTGTTTCTTTCAATGGCAATGTTATTGGATTTATGAATCCAAAAATCATATTCGGTGGACTCTAAATCCCCTCCCTAAAGAAAAAGGGATATTTGTACTTTACACCTCGAAAGATTTAAAAAAAATTATTTTATGCTCTCAAATATTATTTTTTTTGTATTATACCTTCAATCTATACTACTTATAAATGTCAATATCTATAAAAAAATATTGATTTTCTATTTTATCCTTAATTATTATAATAAAATCAATTATGCTCATCTATATATCTATACTACTTTAAAATGTGAGAATACTGAAAAAATATTTTTTTTTTGCTTTTATCCTCTAAAACTATAATTATCTCATTCTTATCCCTCAATATTAAAGTCTATTAAACCCATTCTTAACCACACTTCTTAGTTTGTCTACTGTTACAACCCTATCATCTCTCTTCCTCTCGGATTCGACTCCTCTATTGTTCATTAGGAACAACAGGAACCTTCTGTCCACAAAAAACGCCGTAGTTGAGGATTGTTCTTTTTTTTTTTTTGCAATCAAAAGGTGCCATTTGAATTAAATATAAACAGTACCTTAAATGCCAACTATTGTGCAAGGAGGTCTTCTGCCTTCTGCCTTCTTTTGTCTTCTTTCTTTTGGGTGTATATCCTAATTTCTTCCCAGCGACAAGGCAAACTATTTTTAGTGTAGTTTGATTAGTTCTAATTTCTGATATCTTGTGATGGTTTTTGTTGGATTCTTTAATGAAGCCTTGTTTTAGTCAAAATTCCTCTTTTTCGATAATGGGTTGCTCCTTGTTTAATGTCTTTTGAAACTTTTAATCAAGCTTTTATCTTAGTTAAGATTGCTTTGTTTTAGATAGATGGTTGTTCGGTGCCTAGGTTTGGAGTCATTCCTGAACTGAGATTTATGATAGAGTTGTCCGTGATTAATGGAACACCATAGATAAAAATATCAGGTGAAATACCAATATTTTCCATCTCTACATACATATTCATCGATGTACACAAACTGTCTGCCTTACTGGAGCCATCAATCATACCAGTGTAAACAAATAAATTAGGAACGACACCAAAAAATTACAAATCATTCAGTTGAAGGTTGAACAACAAAGGATGTGCAAACTCGTCTCTATTTCTCCTCTATCCTCATGATTCCAGGAGTTGATGGCAAAGCGATTCCAAGTGTTGATGGCGAAGCTATTCCAGGGGTAGACGACGAGCAACAGGCGGGCTTCGAAATTTTTGGAGCAAAGTCTTCGATTGTGTTCTTCCTGGTGGGGGGAAATCTTTTGGGGAGAAAAGTTGCAAAGGATAAAGAAAAAAAAAGAAGAGTCCTAAACTACATCATTTTTTGAGATGCTCTTGTTGTTCCTAGCAAACGAGTAAATATTGAGGAGTTGAATCCCCCCCCCTTTATCTCTCTTTTTCTCCTGCATATTCACAATTTAGATAACCATCCATACCTATTTTCCTCTCTTCCTTTTCCTCTTCCAGAAGCCCTCGATGTTCCCCCTCTCGCTATCTCTTTCTCTGCCGCTCTCAGGGTCGAAGTCCAATGATTCAGATTGGTTGATAGGCTGGTTGGAGCCTCATGGCCTTGGTTTCTAGAATGTTGATGATTTAGATGATAATTTTGTTGTACTGGTTCCTTGTTACGGGATTTGGAAGACAATTAAAGGACAATTTTTTGGAGAAGGTTAGGAACATCCCCGACATATATGTTGTTGGTAAGAATCAAGTTCAACAAAATTTAGTCCCATAATTTTACTTATTCATTCAATTTTCAGTTTTATTTTATTGTCATATCTTTGTTGGTATCAAATTTTTGTATTCTGATCTATACCTATATGAGGGCAAGTAGATTTCATTTCAACTAATAGTACTACAATTAGATATATGCTGCTAATCGAATCAATAGGTAACACCAACTTCCCAAAGCCTTCGGAGTTTAGTTCTACATAAATGTGAAAAAGCTCAAGGAGATTCCATTCGATTTGTGAGATAAAGTTGCACTACATACATTTGACTTAAGCTGGTGTAGCCGGATGGTTGTGTATTCTGCCATTCAGATTCAGGAAGTTCAACAAAACAACGAAGATGATTGGCTAAAGATTTTTATTAATCCTCTAGATTGGGAGCCATGATTGAGTCTACAATGTGCTATGGCAAAAGCTGATACAAGATTTAGTAAGTAGACCTCAAAACATACTTTATTCATTTGTTAAATTATGTGTTTGAATACAATCTGGTAGAAGTATTGTCAATAATAGTTATGCCTACTAAAGTGTACCTGAGTTTCAATATTTCAGCTCTTTAAAATGATCTCCTTTGCATGTTTAAGCACTTTTTGATAGGCCCCCAGCTCTTCTCCGCCGGGGTCCCCTAGACAGGCTGGTCTCATAGAGGAAGTTCTTGGAGATGCTCCTCCTCCTTCTTTGGTTGGTATTTCGTCACCTCCTAGAGATGGTTCCAGTACCGTCGCGGGGACAGAGGGCCAGGCGTCGTGTTCCACCGGGACGGAGGATCTGCCAAGTTGCTTCCATTCGGGTGATGCTTCAACGTCCATGCTACGGGACGTGAGGTTGGCAAGGGAGAGACTTTGTGATTTCGTGTTTGTCATCGAAGCCCAAGAGGTTGCTTCTCGGGGTCTGGAAGGCGTGGTCAACGCCACCGTAGAGGGCTTTGCTTTGGTATGCTTGGCTTAGTTATGAGTTTCTTTGTGCTTTCATTTTTGACTGTCTATAGGTGGCCGCTACCTTGCCCTGCTTGTTTGATAATAACCTGAGGATCAGGGAGGTAGTCACTGGCCGGGTGAAGGAGAGGTAGGCACGAGAGGCTGCTGAAGAGCAACTTAGGCTTGAGCGGCAGGCACGAAAGAATGCCGTAGAGCTTGCACGGCTAGCACGAGAAGATGCCGAGAAGTAGTTAAGGCTCTAGTGACAGGCATGAGAGGATGCTGCCGAGAAGTTGAGGCTGGCTCACATGAGGGTTGCTCAGCTTGAGGCTGACCTTTGCGTAGCGCTTGAGAGAGCTACTAGGGTAGAGGCTCAGACGAAAGCCGCTGAGAGGGCCAGGGCCAGTGCCTTTGTTTACGGCTATGATGAGTTCAGGAAGAAGGTCTCAGCAGTGTTCCCTGCCTATAATTTTTCTGACTTTCAGCCCTATGAGGCCCCTGAGACTGATGATGAGGGTGACTATGTGAGTGGAGGCAGTGAAAGTCACCAGGAGTGTGGCGCTTTGTATTTTTTGTTTTCTTGACAGACTATGTCTGTCTTTTTGTAAAATGCTCATAGACTTGGATGAAATGTGACTTTTATGTGAAAATATTGAAAATTTTTATTTCATTACTCAGAGTAAATGTTTGAAGGAAAATTGATAAAGATAAAAAATTGACAAAAATAAAAGGTAAACAGTCTAAACAATGACCACCAAGCTAACTCACTGCCCTCAACTACTTGTAATATTTCTTTAGATGCTCGGCATTCAATGGATGGGCCAGGACCTTTTCTTCATAATTTTGGATTCTGTAGGTACCAGACCTTACCACCTCTGTGACTATGTAGGGTCCTTCCTAGTGGATGGGCGGGGTTGGAGTGGGGCTGCTTGATCTGGAGGTCTGCACAGAAGCTGTTTAGGAGTTTGTTATCAAACTGTTTGACATTGTCACTTATAATGGCGTGCAGTATCTCGAAGCAACAGACTATATTCTTCCATACAAAGTCCTTTACCTTCTGGTCTGTGATTCTGGCTAAGGCTTTAGCTTCAGCTTTTGCCCACTTGGTGAAGTAGTCGATGACTATGACTACAAACTTGCATTGACCTCGACTCACAGGGAGGGGACCTAGAATGTCAATCCCCCACATGGAGAAGGGCCATGGGCTCTGAATGGTGGTGAGCTCCTCGGGTGGCTGTCTAGGCATGGTCGCAAAACACTGGCATTTGTTACATCTCCTAACAAAGTCTCGGGTGTCTCGAATTATGGTGGGCCAATAGTATCCCTGTCTGATTTCCTTATAGGCCAATGCATGCCCTCCTGAATGATTTTTGCATACTCCTTCATGTATCTCTCTTATGGTATAGTCAGCTTCTTTGGGGGTGAGACAGTGGAGCAGTAGGAGAGAATGACTTTTCTTATAAAGGGTGTTTTATATGATAACATATCTGGATGATCTCATCCTCAGCTTTCGGGCTTCCATTGGGTTGTCTAGGAGATTACCCTCCTGTAGGTAGGCTCGAATGGAAGTCATTTAGTTGGATTCCAATGATGTATAGTGGACATTGCCCTCTTCTGTCTTGGAGATGCTAGGCTTATATTGGTGACCTATCAGCGCCAGGCCCATAAGTAGGTTGGCAAAGGCGAACTTGGCGAGGGCATCTGCCATGACGTTCTTCTCTCGAGTCACATGGTGGATTTGGACGCAGACGAACTTAGTGAGTAGGGCTTGGACCATCGAGAAGTACTTTTGCATCATTTATTTCTTCACTTCAAACTCTCCCTTCATCTGATTAACTATGAGCTGAGAGTCACTATAGGCCGTGAGGTTGAGGGCTTCCATCTCTAATGCCAGTCTCAAGCCTGAAATGAGGGCCTCATACTCAACTTGATTGTTTGACGAGGCAAAGTGGAGGGAGGCGACGTACTTTAAGGGAGTACCATGAGGGCTGATCAGTACTAGTCCAGCTCCACCACCTTCGTTGGTAGAGGACCCATCTACGTAAAGCTTCTAGAATGGTGTAGTGGGTGATGAAGGTGACGCTTGGAGAGAGGAGTAAGTAGTATATGATGAAGGCTGAGAAGGCGAAGCCCTAGGCAGGCTGGGCGGCGGCCAAGGCCTGGTAGGTGACTCCCTTGGCACGGTGGGCAGCGCCAAAGGCCAAGTAGCTGGCGCCCAGGGCTGCCTAGTCTGTGGGCTGCCTCTTGATCCTTCTCCGGGTCGGGGACTTCGTCTTGGGCAACATCTGGAGTGATCTCCTTGAGGGTGGAGTTAGTGTGCACTGTGCAGGTGGGAGCAAGGGCGCTTAGTGCTTCCTCCTGCAACTTTTATAGTGGTGTAGTTTCGGCCACAAAGTTCGCAAATGCCTGTGCTTTGATGGCAGCCCTTGGCCGGTACTGCACATCGAATTCGCTTAACTCCACAGCCCATTTGAGCAGTTTGACAGAAACATCAGGCTTCCCCAATATTTTATTGAGTGGCTGATCAGTAACAACCACGATGGTGTGGCTCTGAAAGTAATGACGCATACGCCTGGCGGAAGTGACAAAGGCGAGAGCTAACTTCTCCAGTTCTAAGTACCTTACCTCCGCCCCTCAAAATGCCCTGCTTACATAGTACACTGGCTTCTAGATGCCTCCATCTTCTCTGATGAGGACAGAACTTACGATAATGGGGGAAGAAGAGAGGTAAAGGTAGAGAATCTCTCCTGGTTCGGCAAGGAAAAACAGTGGCGGTGTGGCGAGGTAAGCCTTGAGCTTTTGGAAGGTTTCCTCTACGTCTGGGCCCCATTGAAAAGACCTGTGAAGGATCTTAAAAAAGGGTAGACATTTATCTACGGATTTATAAACAAACCTGTTGAGGGATGCTATCCTCCCATTAAGGCGTTGAACTTCTTTTGTTGAAGCAAGGGACCTCATGTCCAAGACGACTCTGATTTTGTCTAGGTTGGCTGCAATACCCCTTTTATGGACCATGAAGCCTAAGAACTTCCTTGAACTGACACAGAAGGCACACTTTTCAGGATTCAACTTCATCTTATAGGCTCTCAACACGTCGAAGGTCTCTTGAAGGTGGGTTACATGATTTACAGTTGCTACACTCTTTACCAACATGTCGTCGACATAGACTTCCATTGTCTTCCCAATCTGGGCCTCGGACATCTTGTTGACCAGACGCTGATATGTGGCTCCGACGTTCTTGAGTCCAGAAGGCATCACTATGTAACAGTAAGTACTTTTCGGGGTGATGAACGAGGTCTTCTCCTAATCCAGAGCAAACATGCTAATCTAGTTATACCCAGATTAGGTGTCCAAAAAACTAAGGAGCTCGTGTTCAGCGATGGCGTCGATGAGGAGGTCGATGCGTGGGATAGGATAATTGTCTTTGAGACAGGCTTTGTTGAGCTCCGCGAAGTCCACACAAAGGCGCCACTTTTCATTGGCCTTTGTCACCATAATCACATTGGATAGCCAGTTTGGGTAGGTTACCTCCCTCACTGACCTATTTGTCAGCAGCTTGTCTACCTTCTTCTCCATGGCTTATCCTCTCTTCGTGCTCACACTCCTCAACTTCTGACAGATAGGCTTGTATCTGGGGTCAACATTGGGAGGCCACCTCAAGATTGATGCCCTCCAAGTCTT